CTTGACTTGACTGAGGAGCAAATCTTCTAGGATAAAGATGTCAACAGCACTGCTAGTCTGGAATCTTAAAAAATATAGGTAATTCACATGTGGACCGCCAATAAACGGGCTTCTTCCAAGAGACCAAATTTAGGTACTGATGCAGGGAGGAGATATCTTGACCTGTCTGGAGAAATTTCCGGGAGGCTCCCACCGTATGGATTCGAGGCAACTGGATACCCGACTCGGTCTAGCAGCGTCCATATTGTTCATTCATACACGTGTAGTGCAATATATTGAACAATGAGCAACCCAGTGGGTTATCGCAGCAGTAGGCGAATAGCCACAGTGCTTGTAGTTACACAATGGTCCATGGTTGTAGATATCGTTGACAAAAACAGCACCTAGCTCAACCATGATGAATACGAGATAGTCCGGACCCCAAATGGTAACAGAGTGGTCCTCTCATAACAACATTGAACGCTTTTGCGACGCAGACGGCAGAAAACTTCGTTGAAGTGACCATGGTTTTTCGACATGAAAATGGCGCTGGATCCAAATATCTTTTCGTTGGCAGTGGTAGATGGACTGCCACGTTGGATTCATGCCCTATGCTAAACCGCGTGTACCTGGAACATCCCTCCTACACGAGCTTGATTCGAAAGGGATAGCGCTTGAGTTATAATTGGAGCATCTGCATGCGAAAAGCAGCATCATGATAGGAACGGGTTGATTGGACTCAAAAACATGGACTAAGAGGAGTATAGACCTAATAACGATCTGTATAAGAGGAAAAAAGGAAAGACTCCGCTGGTTCCGCGGGCCAAGTAGAACCTTGATTTCGTCCATAGTATCTACCCCCAAATTTTTTAATGGGAACTTCTCCACATTCCGCTTTTACAATCCGCTCTTACAACGGCAATCACGGGCTGCACAGTCACACATACTTTATACACTTATGTAAGCACATGCGTATCAAAAGCGAAGGCGGTTTGGTTCAAGTTCAATGTTTGGTACTTCTTCGTTTGGACAACTCTGAATATACGGTACATAGAAACTACACTAGGTACCTAAAGTGGGAGGCAGGCATGGAGACATTATTCTCTTTCCCTTCCCTTTTTTTTTCTTTTTGCCCCAAGACTCAAAGGCTTAGATGCTGACCGAGACCAAAGTGGTCAGGTGTGATCAGACATACACCACACCATCTCCGCGTAGATACATATCCAACTAGGTCCACCTTCACCTTGCATTCGAGACCACACTTAGTCTCCAACCAGGCATCGCGATGCAAAGTAATACGATGCCTAGATAGTGGTAGATCAAGAGCGAGGGAGATCCTAAGGGACACCACCCTCATCAGAATAGGAGCTCCACCCTGCCAACTCTCAACACCGATTTCCATTGTTTGGGGTAGATAACTCGATCAGAGGAGTGTAGGTGTCCAGTTTCTACCCCAAATCTAGACCAACTCGAACCCATCGAGTGGGTACGCTGCATGTCGGGGCAATGTTGTCTGGCATTAGAGCCAATATATTGTCCTACCGCACAGATCAGATCCGCTTCTCAACCAAGCCATAGAACCTTGCAATACGCCAGCCATAGGTCTGACGACTTTGGCCCCGATTGCTAATATCGATCCACGCTCGTTGCGAAATTATGGCATCAGACTAGGGTGAGATGAGGCAGTTTGACTGAAAAGGAAAAAGGAAATCAAAGAGGGTTGTGGGCCAAGTTGAAGTGGCCCACTAAGACGGTGAAAACGTCTTGGATCTCATGTTGAACGCCTGATGTTTTGGTTGTAAAAACAGAGACAGAACAAAAATCCTAAGACCCAAGTACCGGGGATGCCTACGTCGGCCGCCATGTTGTATAGCGGGCTCCGCAAATCAACGCCCATTTATCAATTCATACCTAACAACGTTCCACTACCTACCCTCCTCTCGCATTCCTTCTCCCCCTTCTAAAGGGTTTAGCTTGGAAGGCTATCCTAGATGATGTCCCAGGCATCCTCAGCAGCGTGGCAAAACTTGCTACACGCAACGCTCGCTGAGAGGCTGTATTGGCTAATCGAGATCTTCTCGTCCACGTACTCGTCGGCGAAGTTGTCGGGACCCTTCGCCATGGCCCCAACAAAGACACATATGCTCTCCTTGGGTCCAAGACTCTGGATGTAGTCTCGTACACGCACCGTACTCGAGTCAAAACTCAGCGTGACCTTGCGGCAATTGGGTGGAAGATGGTCCGTGATGGGGTTTTGAATAACTCGAAGAAGTTTCTCCTGTGAGTTGGTGGAGCGGATGGACAGACGATGGAGCAGTTGGACCATCAATCCAGCAAAACGCTTAAATGTTCTGGGGATGCGCACAGTTGGCGACACTTCAATGAGGACACCCTTGGCCGTCTGGATATATATCTGCAGCTTGCCCGCTTTGTTGATGGGCGAATCCAGAAGAGTAAGGAGGCACTACATCAGTTCAAGACACTGTCAGCATGTTGAATGCCAACTCGAGAGACAAGACTTGTTGAAGAGTATGTAGAATGAGATATTCGGCGTACCTGGTGTGTAATATCAGGTCGTGCGTCACTGATATCGCGGTTCATCTTTCGCATTACTCCGATGTGTTCGTCGCTATTAAGCAGAGAGTACTTGTCCTCGCGCTGCATGCCAGCGCGGCCAGCGCCGCCACCATGTGATGCCTTGTAGGTCTCAAGGCTGGCATTGGACAGGACGACGATGAGTCTTTGGCTGTCTTTGTCGCTGGCGGGAATGGGCACTTGTTGCTCTGCGACTAGCTGGGGAAGAGCCGGAGGGGGTAACGACTGGGTGCCTACAGGAGAGGCCATTGGTGTTAGATACGCCACTTATTGATACCTCAGAGACAACACAAGACAGAAATCCGTGTTCGCAGGTACCGTGAGATCCCCAGGGATCTTCATGGGCCACGGCAGTTTCCTTTAACTGAATCCTTTGCAAAGCGGTGTGGGGATATCATAGAGAGCGCGGTGTGCGGCTGAGAGGACTGCTCGGAGCTACCTAGAGGCGATAGGTGGGACGGCCGAAGCCATGTCGTATCTCTCCTCCTGCTAGATAATGAAAAAGGAAAAGCAAATCTCAAACTTACGAGGTCGTTTGCCTGCACGATACGTTGTTGTTGTAGGCATTATGGAGATATCCGAAGTGGAAGGACTAGGATAAGAAGTAGTGAGTAATCTCAAGTTTGCTAGTGGGCAAACAGTACGCAACTGGTAATTAGTAGTAAATGATAAAAAAAAAAAAAAGGGGGATATATTCGAGAATTGTGTCTGAGTCTGTTTAGTTGAACTGCTGACTGTTGTTGAATATGAACAGATAATGAAGTGAAGAAATTTGGTTAGAAGGAACACAATGAGAATGTATGTGGAGAGGATTTTTGTTCTCCGGCTAGTTCGGTCAGGCACCGGTACCCACCGATAAGGGTGGGACGGATTGCTATCGGTTCCATCCAATTTTCCTGTGTGGTTACACTACACTTAGTTTTTACTGCAGTCCATGGATAACCAACCAACCCACCCACTAACCCCTCCTAAACCTTGCCCCACACCGAATGCACTTCCAGGGTCCTAGGTGGTAGGTTCCATCAATCACGGGCACTAAGCACGTGGGGTTATTGCTTCGGCTTCGGCCTCCGATTCCGTTGAGATTCGCCGAAAAACAACGAAGAAACAAGATGTCCGAACTGGCAGAAACCCTTCGGAAGCACATTCATCCACAAATCTATCCAATATCGGGGACACGATTCTTGTCTTGCCGCTGGAGCCTGGAGGAATGACCGAGGGAGCCATCAATCTTACTCAGCTTGCACTAATACAAGGATTTCGGAGTAACTTTAACGGACCAACATTACCTGCAGTCATTCGCAAAGTGATGCGAGCCACCGTCATACCGAAGCTCTTTGATTACTTGGTGTTGCAAGACAAGCGTCCGGCTTCCGACAATCACAGCATTATGCGGGTTTCTGTATTGAATTTAACGATATCGGAGAAAGTATTATTCATCTAAGCTCGCGATTTTTGTCAACCAATCCTTGCCACCTCAACGCCATGTTTCTCTTCTCCAGGCCGAGAAATGCCTTTTGTGGGAAGGCTTAGTAATACTCTGCCAGCAAATCGGGTTCAAGGAGGCAGGTCAACATTGCCTATCTATTCTACGCGACGCATAGCAAACCCTAGGTGAGATGAGACCTATTCAAGAATGCATATCTACCTAGGCAACATAAGGTATTTTAGGAGGAGCATATTTCTAGGTACAGACGTCGCTCGGATTTAAGTTATAAAATAGCAGGACTTCCTTGCTCCGGGATTTGATCAGAAACGTGGTCGTAAGTACGTCCTATTTTTATGTTGCATCCTGAGTTGAAGCTGCCATCTGGATAAGTCAATATTCCTATTGCATGTCACCATACATTTATGCTGTGATAAACCCAGTTGTTATCACTGCTGAAACAAAGAGCAACTTACTTGGGTGGATGGCTTCCTTCATGCCCACGTGGTAATGTATACGAATACTACCAATGTATAGCTGATTATGTACCTATTCAACACTGTTGTGTACCCTTTCAGTAGCAAGATGCCTAGAAAATAGCCAAAATTAAAACAATGAATGTATCGAACTTGACAACATAACAAATGCCAAACTTGCTTCATGGCCGAGGTAGGTGCCTCACTAAGTGTTATATGCCTGCAGGGTAAATATAGTATGTACAAGAAGGGGGCTGGAGGAGGGTAAGGATATGAAAAGCCCCAGGCCACGATATCTTGGGGAATATCGAAGTATGAATTTTGAATAGGAGTGAAAAGGTAGTCACTAAATATGGCCTACTATGCATGTCTAGATAATATGTAGAGAGCTTCAAGAGAAATAACGCAGTCATGGAAACGGTTATGATAGGTTAATAATGCAACTTTGTGAAATGACGAAAGTGAGGCGTTATTATAAAGTAGATCAAGATGGAAGAAGTAAAAAAAATTGTGTATAAATAAAGGGGTGTCTAGGGGATTCGAACCCCTGACCTCTCCCAGCTTGTTCGGGAAACCAAGGGGAGTGAGTTAACCACTTCTCCAAGACACCACTGCACCATAGATCTGGTGTGCTTGTTAACATCGGCGACATAATGTTGCCATATATGTTTTGTATGCTCGCGTAAATGGTTACCTAGGTAGCAAAAGAGAGCTAACTCGCCGCCTACCATGGTACACTTAGGCACGCACCATTCCAAAGAGGCTCAGGCATTCACTTCAAATTATGACATCTGAGATGCTTATGGCACTTACTATGTGTCCGTACGAGTAATATATGGTAAGGGACCTAATATCTACATAATTATCTACATAATTATCTACATAATTAGCTACTCTACACTCAATGAAGGTTTTTGTGAGGTTTCTGTCGAAATATTCAATCATGTGTCTCTCAAAAGTCATAGCCCAATTGGCATTTAAAGAAATGTATAAATATATGTCGTCGTTATGTCCATCTGCGAGAGGAATTGAATGTGGAAATAGCAGTCTCGATTGTACAGGATGAACAATTAGCTAATACTGATCAAAAATTTCAAAGTTCCTAGGAACAACTGTATTGAATCTCTATTTGTAATCATTTTCGGATAATATATGTTAATGAAAATGTCATAACACTTAATGTGTGTTAATAGTCGACACGAGATAACGTTGAATGGCTTTTATCATCAAATTCTCTCATCCTAGCCGCCTTGGTCTAATTCTAGGTTCTGGGTGGGGACGTGTAGCGGCGATAGTATAATGACTGCACTTTATCATTGTGATTCTGCTTATAACATCAGCACAGGGAGGTGAAATAAATCAGGCAGGTTGTCAAGGCAGTAGATGATCTAGCAACAATGAGTGTTTGTGGAGTTCCTTGATATAGTTCAAGATAAATTGGTTGATAAGCTGTTAATTCTCGTCTCCTAATTGCAGTGAGTATCCCCCTACTCTATATATATACATATAGAGGCTAGGAATGGCTGTCATGTCTAACAACGACAGTATAATAGTAAATCGGAATAGAAGCATAGTGATATATCACTAACCGAAGCAAAAGACACCTAAACCTGGCATTCATCAGACCAAACCATGTTATAGTAGCGCTAACACCATCAGCCTAGAAACGCTTTGGAGGCTCCTAAGACTAGCCACTAGCCAACTTTTGCAACGAAGCATCTAGAATATCATATTAGCTGAGAACTGTTGCTAAGAATAAGCAGAGTTTAGACTGCCACCAAGGGCCCCCTATTCGTAGGTCTCGGTAGTGGCCAGGAAACGGCGCGCAAGTTCACTTACAGTTTCCGTTAAAAGTATCCGAGTCACCACCATATTTGTACGCATCATTGAACTGCCAAATGGTATAATATGGCCAGCCACCGGGAGGCGTTCCAGCGCTGCTGCTGTACCGTGCGAGAACAAGGGGGTTTGTACTGACAAAGGCACTCGAGCCACCAGTGCAGCTAGACCACCACGACGGGTTTGTGTAGAGTAGGGGGTAGCGTCCCGTTTTGCTGTGATATGTATCGCTGAAGTCCTTGATCCAAGAGACCATAGCACTTGTCGAGAGGCCTGCGCAGTCACCCTCTAAGTCCAACATGCCTGGGAGAGTGATTCCGTCTCCCGACCAACCACCGCCATGTGCTAGGAAGTAGTTGGCCTGCGTGGCTCCCGAGGAAGAACCGGGATGCGCAAAATGATAGCCACCGCGGATGAACCCAGCGTTGGTGGCACCGGTATAATGGCTACTGAAACTTGGGTCGATATACGTGGTGCCCTCGGTAGCCTATTTGCATCGGGTTAATTCTATTTCAAACGGCTTTACTGTGTAAGATTCAGAATTACCTTGATAATAACAAAGCGCGCCCCGGAACTGTAGGCTGCTGTAAAATCTACACTGGATTGGTAGTGAGAAATATCGAATCCAGTCACAGCTGCGAGGGCAACGCTGCCTAGACCTAAGAAAGTAGCAACAAAGAACTTCATATTCACTACTAGGATGTCACTGATTTCTGATGTCGGGTACCTTGGGATATGGTTAGCATTGGTGTTGGCCCGTAGCCTCGGCAGGCATTTATACTCGTTGTAAGCAACCAAAAGAACGGGTCTAATCAACTAGATACATTTACAATGCCATATGGAGACCAGGTCGTGTATGTGAATATGACTTCAAGTTCCTAGATAGTAATGCAGATCAGGCAGGTAGTATAGATCCAACTATAGTCTGGGACATTATTGGTTGGCTGGGGGTACCCTAATTTTCAGCTGAAATAGAAAGGTTGTCGATCCCCATTAGTCCTTGTAGGTGTCCATAGATATAGTGGTAACACCCAGAGCCTAGCGTATGCATTCCGATGGTTTAAGGAGGTCCAGGAAAGCTGAGCTCCAGTCGAAGAGACTATTTGAGAATAAGCTATGTTTTTGTGGCTTTAATTCGCTTACTACGTTGCCGTGATATCTAAGCTGATTGACGCTTGATATATCCGGCTAACGGCGGCCTCCAACTTCAACTAGGACATTTAATTATCCATGGCAGGTTGTGTTGAATATCTTGAGAATGATCGACTGAGATGTCTAGGATAGACCTACCAAGTAGTCGGGCATTCAGGAGAGAAGCGGAGCAATATTTTACCCAGCTGAGACTCATTTGAGCCAGCATGTTGCCAGTCTTCACGTATATTTCATCCCAAAAGAGGCAGAGTGGCGTCGGCTCGGCTTTATGAATGACGAAATGCGGTTGATATCTTTGACGGGTAGTGACTCGGCCAAGTTCGTCAAGATTGGTACATACACGCATACAAGAGCTGTCCTGTTGTACGGTCGAGAATGCGGAATATTTCCGTGGTGAAATATTTTCCCTGTCTCAGCTACCCCCAAATTAGGTAGGTACTCTTGGAGAGATGCCAGTGTAGTATCGTCAGATGAGGGTTGAGGAAATCGAAGGTTTTAACTTGAAGGTGTAGTAACAGCACTGTTGACTCGGCTGGAATAAGGAAACACGGCTCTAAGTTAGCTGCAAAAATGTCTTATCACTGTATTGGGAAATATTTTCCTCGTTTGATATAAAAAGGAAGATCGCTCAGTTAGATGGATGTATGCAGATTCCAGCGTGTTGGCGTTATTTTAGTATATAAATGGAGTCGTGGGGTTTACATGCAGCTACCTAGGTACCTAAGGTACAGCAGGTAGGTACATGTAGGTACGGTATCGATAACACCGGCAGAACCGTTTTCCCGTCCTCTAAGGTACTAGTAACAGGGCTGGAATGGACATGAGTGGGGGGAGGCGTGAACTTTTAGAGTTATTCCAAAATCTTTTGGTGATCGGTTGAATAAAAGTGACTTGACAATACCAAACCGCGAGCCAACGTATCGTCATAATAATATGATTGAAAATTAGCGACCGAGGGGCTTAAACGACAAAGCTACTGTGAAAAGGAAAAAAAGATGGCCTCCGAAGTCGCGGCGGCGGCCGCCAATACCATGCGACGAGCAGGGAAGGAGATGCATGGTATCGTGGTATCTGCTGGTCTAATGGACAAGACCGTGAAGGTCAAGCTAGGTGGACTAAGATGGGAACCGAGAGTACAGAAGGTTAGTAAGGACACACAAACACTATGCCCCAATAGATTGTAGCTAACTCCCAATTCTTTCGTCCAGTACTTTAAAGAGCCGCGATTTAAGCTAGTCCACGACCCTCGCAACTCCGTCCGACAGGGCGACGTGGTAGCCATAACGCCGAGCTGGAGAGTATCACAACATGTGCGACATGTTGTCAAGCACATAATAGCCCCATATGGCGATCCTATTGACGAACGGCCAGCCATTCCTACACTAGAAGAGAGGCTGGCCGAGGCAGCCGCAAAGAGAGCCGCCAAGGACCAGCGAAGAGCTGCACGTAGGGAAGAGCAGGCCAAGATAAGAGCGGAGGAAAAGGCCGCTCGGGAAGCAAGAAAGACGTCGAAATCAAGTGGCGAGACTCCGCCCCCTACCCAACCTACGACAATAGAAGATGTCGACTGAAACATCATGGTTGCTCAAATAGAAAGGGCTGGCGAATAGAGCGTAAGCCTCCTAGGAGTGCCGTATCACCGCCTTGATCGAAAGAGGTCGCCCAATGCGGCTTCGGTATCGTGCTGCTGGTAAACTAGTATATACCAAATCACTCGCATGTAACATATGTACAATTACATATTCGTACGGCTTTGGCTACTCAAAGGACGACGCGTTCACATAATTCATATTGAACAGACATCTGACCCTAGGTATCGTATGTCAACCTATGGCTTCCTAATTCCTTGAACGTCACCGACATTCCCTCTAATTTCGCTACTTGGGAATCGCAATACTATTGATGGTTTACAATCATAACGAGGTTTTACCCACCACGTTCGCCATACCTCCTTGCCCAATCCTCATATTCCTTCAGCCCTTCTTTGCTAACGCTAGGACGAATCGTACGGAGACTGGCTTTGAAGTCTGCCAGTTCTATGGGCCGGATCTGGTCCATTGTCATATGAAGGAGAGCCTCCCCTAGAGCTCGGAGGGGGCCCATCGCTGCATCTTTGGCTAGTGCTGTGATGTCCGAGCCCGAGAAGCCTATATATATATATATATTGATTAGCATTGCGTTATATGTACCTTGTAGATTTATCTTGATATTTACCATCTGTGAGGTCCACCAATTCCGCAATATCGGTGTCCGTAAGATTGTGCTTCTGTTGCCCAAGTAGCGTCTTCAACTGAATGGCCCTAGTTTCTGCTTCGGGTAAAGGGATATATTGGCGCCTCACGAATCTCCGTCTCGCTGCTTCGTCAATGGCCCACGGTAGATTGGTAGCTGCCAGGACAAGGACCCGGTTTGGGTCGCCTCGCTCTTTATTTGTCCCGGCGATGTTCTCACGCCCTGCCGCAGCTCGCTGTAGATCACTCCACTGTATGAGAAACTCGGTCTTGATCCTCCTAGTAGCCTCATGCTCCCCGGATCCAGACCGTTGAGAGAGAAGTGAGTCTATCTCGTCAACAAATATGATGCTCGGAGCCATCATCTTCGCCAACGCAAATAATGCAC